TTTGCAGTTTAAAACTTCATTTATTTTCGCTTCTTCTTGTTGATATTGGCTGCATGCAAAGAGCAGGCATTTGGATTATATGAAAAGATCGAATGAAATTTGCCACTTTAGTTCCTTCGGATAGGTCTTATGTCGCTATGACAACTCGCATGCTGATCAGTATGATTTTAAGGTCTTCAGCAAGGCATTCCATCGTTTACAAAGGCTCTTTCGTGGGTTTAATTGCTCCTAATGGTTGCCAAGCCTACGAACCGTCGGGCTTCCAGTGCGAAATCGGTTTATTTGTGTTTATGTCTAGTTGGGCTTACGAAGCTTAAATCGTCGGGCTGACTAACATCGGAGGATACAGAAAAACGGCCTCCAATTGTGACTTGTTGAAATGCTCAGCCTTGAGTCAGGATCCATTTGTATGAGTAGGTGCTATGATGCCTTCCCAAAATCTCATTTTTCGATTCAAAACGAGTACACAGTTATGATTCATATCTCGCATTTCGGCTAGATTTTTGTCTTTTCTTGCCTTCATCACTGTAGGAAGAACAACAACAGGCCGATGACATTGAAGACCAACAGGCCTACAGCATAGAAGAGTCGAAGCGAAAGTCAGAGCAGGACAAATTGCTCGATCTGGCGGAGAAGAAGAAAGCCGATACACGAAGACGCATCGGTGAACTTCGACTCAAGTTCAAGAGGTTGAAGGAGCAGAACGACAAACTGCCGGATCGAATCCGCTTGCACAAAAAAGTAAGTCGTCTTCTTCAGAAGCAAAGGTATCCAAATAGCCACAGGGTTTATTCGTTGCTTTGTAATTGTATATGTCTACTCTCTGAATCTATACTTTTGAGTGAAAACTCTGTTATCCTTTGTTATATGAATAGGATCCTAATGCCATCAAATTTCATTTAGTCTTGCCACTTAAATTTTTATCACCAACGCATACACCCACACATACATACATACATTCACACTATCATACATGCCTACCTACCTACATACACACACATAGATACATACGTACATACATAAATAGGTGCATGTACAAACACATACTTAAATTATAGTATTGTCGGTGGAGGAAGCATGTAGGTCTAATTGTAATATTTGGCTTCCAAACTACTATCAATTCTTGAATAAGAACTCAGTCGTTCAAGGTCGATCAAGGTGATGTCACGATTGAAAATTGAGTTTTTCACACTATGCTATTAAGACGCCACTTATTTTTTATATAGTCAGGTTATGAAGCTATAACTACTATTTGGAATATAATTTAATAATAAGTTTCAAAGCATTTTAAACTCCCTTCTTTACTCTACTAGGCTGTACATCAAGTTGGGAACACAAAGTCTCAAACTCAGTCTTCTGGGGTTTAGCATGACTTTTAATTTGTAGCTAGCGTCTAGCGCTTCGCACTGAGACCAGGTTTGGAAGTCAAAAATGAGAGTTTTTGTAACTTGGTCATGCCTTCATGGAGATTTCGATGAACCCATCCTGCCTGTAGTTCTCTATCATAATAGTCATGGTAATTTTAAGCATCATGCTGTGAGTTTGGTATATTCCCAGACGTTTTACCAGCATCGTCGTTGATCCTTGCCATTCTTGGTACCAAAGAAAAACCTTTTAAAATGGCAAATAGAGGACATATTTTGAGCAAACTTTCGCCCAAAGGTTGTAATATCTCTCCTCTTTCTGTCATATCTAATTCTCTCTATAGCACTAATTTTTATGTGTTTTGCTTGATTAAGAAGTGATTATTTTATCTATTTTGAGCTACCAGAGCCTTCGACATTCTGAGCAAGTTAGCCAGACTTTAGTAGCTGCGATATGGAGCATGATATTTCTCGAACGAATACTCTTGCCAATCAGCTAAAACCGCACTTAGCATCTTTCTAACCCGACATGAAGCGCATTATTAGCCATTCTTGCACGCATAGCCTCAAAATTCACTTCATTTTTCGTATCAGCATTTTCATGGAAACTTTCGTGATAAAATCTTTTAACATAATTACGGTTCAGGAAAAAAGTCAATCTTGGCCTGAACTAGACTGATTTTGCCCACTGTTTTTGGGATCTACTGACAATTTGGAATTATCTCATCTGCCCCAGCTATATCCGAGCACTGTTTAGCTACAAGCTATCATCAAGTGGCAGATTTTGTTACTATCATTTGATGTAGCAATTACTATTTGAATTTTCTACAATGAAATGAGTAAACCTTTTGATTTCATTTAATTTCAATTTTCATAGCCTACCAAAAAGATTCCTCGTTTGGGCTAGACTGCAGTTCGGATCTGACCTAGTCGAACTGAAAACCAGTTCGTCCTCGTCAGGGCAAGCTGGGCCTTTGTCAGTTCATATTTATTGTAGCAGAATTGTTGCAAGGCCATATCTAGAGCTTCGAATAGAATCGAAGACGATACTCATTTATGTATTTAATAATTTTCATGGATATAAATAAATAATGAATAAGAATTTTTGTCACCTTAAATTTGATAAGATGATGTAAGAATTCTCCCACAATGGAATTGGTCGACTCAAAGATGCGATTGAATTCCCCATTCCAAATCCATTTGAAGGCATAAAGCTGTAATCGAAGATATGAAGACCAAGATGATGTGACCTTTTGTGTGGTCGCAGTCTCTTTTCGTTGAATAGAAGTTGTTTGACCTTATTTTCGCGACTTGGTCATGTTGGTAGGAAGACCTAGAGGAACGCACCTTGTCCTGAGTGCATTGTATGCATCATCATTTCCAAAGTCGTACCGTGGATGTGGTACATTCCCAGACGTTTCACTGGCATCCTAGTCGTCTTCGTCAGTGATTCTCGCAATTCCTAGTAGCACAGAACAGATCGTCAAAGAGACAAGTGAAGCCGATCCTTTGATCAATTGTCTACTAAACAATCGTGGTATCTCTCCTTACCAACTAGGCTATCCACCAATCCTATGTCCCCAATCACCCTTTTACTATGATAATTTATTAATTGCTTAATTAAATGTGGTACGGTGTGCCCTTTTGAGCGGCTTTCATGAAAACCCTCCACACTCCACGCTGGCCTTCCCCCCGCTTTACCCTTGTGTTGGGAATGTTCATCAGAGTTTTCCATATTGTTATGCAGTCCTCCTTCCCTAGGTCTTATCAGAGTCTCCCAGTTGCCCGTAGAATCTGTATGCTATCTCCCTGGTTAACGTATTCCACTCGACCCCTGCCACGCCATCTGTGTTACTCGATGCATTATCTCCCACACTTTGCCTCTGGGAGACTAACTCGATGGTAATGCCTCTGAGTAGTTCTCATGATCAAGCCCTTGTTTCATGAACCACGTCTTTGATGCGAGAATATAGGAAATGTGAATATCCCATGATAGAAGGAGAGAAACAACAAGTGTTTAGCACACGTTTAGTCAAAGGATAGGCTTTACTTGTTTCTTTCACGAGTTGTTGTGTGATGCTGAGAATGCGAAGAAAAGTTGGGTTTCGAGGAATCTTTTGTTTCATAATTGTTCAGCTCACCTCCATTTCGAGTGAAAGTGTTGGGGGGGAAGAGATTCGAAGGTCGGTTCCACCAGAAGATGACGGCGGATTCCTCTTGACCAGCTGTCGATTTGCTTTACTGGAGCATTCATGCTGACGCTGTTTCCGAGGCAATCTCCTTCGATTCCGGTGAAAGGGAGCTAAGATTTCGTCTGTCATGTGACGAACATCATCAGAGCGAGGTATCATCGTCACAACAAATTTCAAGCTAACGAGTCAAGAAAACTCACCGGCAAATCCCTAAAATGTGGTATCTATACTCTACATCTGGCCTCTGATCAAGTATTAAGTGATTTGGTTAGTCAAAGTCATATGCCAACTTTGATGCATGTGAGTGTGTCTGTCTCTGTATTTGTATGAATGGCAAGACTCACTGAAGATGCCGACTATGATGCCGGCGAAATGTCTGGGAATGTACTACGTCCACGGTCCAACTTTGCAAATGATTATGCATACAATGGACTCCGGATTAGGTGTGTTCCTCTACCAACACGATCAAGTTGGGAAAACAAGGTCATACATCTGCTTTAAAGCTGCAATGTTTCCACTACCCCATAAACGGTTTCTAATCTTGCTAAAGGGCTATAAAATGCGAAAATAATCAGCATCTTAGGGTCTACCTTTTACAATTTGCAAAATCTAACAGATTCTCACATATTTTGATCCGAGTTAGTCTGACTAAAGTTAATAGTGTATAAACAGAGTTTTGAGACTACCAGTAAATCAGTAGTATGAGATGTATTCACCCTATTTCGTTTAAGCTGATGAAGGACTGGTAATTTATTTTTTCCACAATGATATGAGTGGAGCTGATGTTTTCATTGAAGTTCACATAGCGTTGCTTTTCCCCCAAAAAATATGTTCTCATCCAGGAAGGACTGCACTTTCGTGTCGGGCCTACACGCTGCACGGTCTTGGTTCGACTCTCGCTTTGGGTGCTGATAAGACCAATGAGAGGTCGAAATTGCAGTCCACTCCGGCCATTATGAGAATAACTTTTGCAAGAGCAAGGCTATGTGACATTCAATGGAAAATACCCACTCTACTCATATCATTGTTGAAAAAATCAATTATCACCTTAAGTGAAATAAGGTAAACACAACTCATATAGGGATAAGATTAGTCTATAACATACAAACCTTCCTATAGAAATTAGTTGATTTGTAGGGGTTAATGCATCATGTTGAGATGGACTCTTTAAGGATTCAATGTAGACCTTGGGAGTTCACTGATTACGCTTCATGTGGAAAAATGTAGTATTTACGACGGCAAGTTATGAAAAAAATCGTCTATACAATATTAATGGTACCATCTCGAGACTGAGTTGCATCAATAGTGGCAAGATTACGTACCTCCACAGCGGTATACTTCAGGAGCTTCTTTTAATCCTCTTTCTGTGCACAAAAGCCTTTTAACCCTACTCTTTCGCATGAAAATTCGGAAGATAAGAGCCTTCTATGCAAAGAAAAGTTGAGCTTAGAGTGAAAGTGTTTGGAAAAATGCTTCGAGCTTCGATCCCACCAGAAGACGATGGCAGATTGTTCTTGACCAGTCTTCGTTGGCTCTGCTGGAACATTCTTGCTGATGCTGTCTCCGAGGCAGTCTCCTTCGATTCCGGTGAAAGTGTACCAAACTGTCGTTCATCGTATGACAGGCATCATCACATCAGATGTTAGCATCCATAAAATCATATTCCACCTAACGAGTCATGAAGACTTAGAAAGCTCAGCTACATGGTATATATAAACATTCAGGGATTAGCCAGTGAGCTTTATACTATCGTTAGCTTAAATATGGTTGCAGGGATGCTATCCTTCAATGATGATATTTATCATATGACTGTCGAAAGCTTAGTACATTTTCATGGGATTAAGTAGATTGCCTCTAAAACAATGTCAATAAAAATATTCCAGAAAAGCCAATCGGCAGCTGGTCAAGAGGAATCCGCTGTCGTCTTCTTGTAGAATCGCCCGGGGAATTGAGCTCAACAATAATCTTCTAACATGGCGCGGTGGAGGAGGCCCAGTTACGTAATACGTATTGAATTATTCTTATTATGTCATTTATCACAAGTTATATTCACACAAAGTAGGTTTCGTAATAATCAGTAAAGCTTGACTTTAAACTCGATATAATAAGGGACTGATAGTTGAATTTTCGCTATTTTTCCACGCATAATTTTGGGAATATTTAGCCATCTCGTTATGCAACTAAGCTGTGCTATAAATCTTATTTATTCCTGATGCCTTTTGTGGAAACTTATTAGACCATATATTAGATCCAAGGCATATAGAGTTAATCGGCCGATCCCACTTTAGTGAGCACAGACAACATTAATTAACAAGATTGTAGGATGGATTCGGCAGGCTCAAGTGACATTGGCAAGCATTGTTGCCTCCTGTAGAGAGATTATTCGCCCTTTTTTTCCCACAATTAAATGAGTAGAGCTGACGTTCCCATTAAATTTCATAGAGCCTTGCTTTCCCCAAAGTTATTCTCATCTCAGCTGGAGTAGATTGCAGTTTCGACCTCGCCTCGGTCTTATCAACACCCCAGCGGGAGTCGAACCGTGACAGTGCAGAAGGGGAGCTTGACACGTTAACCACTCGACCACATTGTCACGAGTGCCCTTGGGTCACAGGGCAGATGTGAATTTCAAGGAAGGCCAGGCCTTTTGCCA